CTCCTTGTCTTTTATGACATTCATATTTTTAATAAATACACTTACCATTTTTGTTTGGCTTATCTTTCCTTGCAATTTGATTGAATTACACTGAGGTTATATATTTGTGGTTGGCATACTGCCTGGGTCATGGTCTCCTCAGGGTACATCCCTATGTCCCTCATATCTGAGGTTAACTTTTGCGTGTGTGATGTTAATTTTGCTCATCAGGTCAAATTGTTGCCTGACTTCACTGCATTAATTACTGTTTAGCATGCAGTTACTTTTCCATCCTATTTTCACTTAACATTATAGAAGATTGAAAAGAAAAAAAACATTATAGAAGATTGGCAGAGACTCTAGTTTCCCTTCAACATCCATTCTCCAAAATTTTTAGCTGGTTATAATCATGTGACTAAGTCCTGTCCAGTGATGTGGGAACAGAAGTGACATGTGATTTCCAGGCATATGTTTTAGAGGGAAAGAGCATTTCTATTTCCCTCTTCCGATTGGCTATGATTTAATGATGACAGCTGAGGCTAGATTAGTCATCTTGAACCACGCAGTGGAAGCTGCATGTGTAGAATGGCAGAGCAACAAGACAGAAGGAGCCTAGCATCCTGGGAATTTCATGGAGGAGAGCCACCATACCAGCTGACACTCTACAAAGAGAGGTAAGTAAACTTCCATCGCACTTGTGATATATTTTGGGTTTTATAATAGCTTTGGTACCTGTATTTTAACTAACATAGGTGTTTCCCCTCATTGCCAGTTTTTATAATTGTTAATTGCTACATTATATTCCATCAAGTGATGTTAGTAAATTAACAACCATTCTCCTATTAAGTACATATTGTTTTCCCATTATTACATATATATAACTATATTCCACTATATTATACATATAACATTATATTGTATATAATATATAGCATTATATACAATATACATTATATACAATATAATGCTATATATATAACATTTTATATATATATAATTAGGAGTTTAGTGTATGTAACTTTTTCATTTTTGTGGATTATTTCCTTAAGATAAATTCCTAGATATGTGATTAGGCTAAAAATAGAAAAGAGATCATGGCTCTAGGTAGGTTCTGTTCAAATGTTTTCCAAAAACCAACTCTGTGGTTGGATTCTGATGTGCAGTGCTGAACAACTTATGCTTTTGGATAATTAACTAAATGTGATGCTAAGTGATATGCTTTAGCAATTAATATATATAACTTAAAACAAATCAAAATGTGAATTAAGATTAATTTTAATTGATATGTTAGAGGATATTTATTTTCATATTTCCCAATGTCAATAGTACTGCCATGCTAATGAAATATATAAAAATTTGCAAAAGTGGGCATATGTAGAACTACCATACAATCCAGCAATTCCGCTTCTAGGTATTTACCCAAAGAAAATGAAAACACTAATTTGAAAAGATATATGCATTACTATGTTCATCGCAGCATCATTTCCAATAGCCAAGATATGGAAGCAACCTAAATGTCCATCCATGGATGAATGCATAAAGCAGATGTGACATTTATATATAATGAAATATTACTCAGCCATAAAAAAAGAATGAATTCTTGCCATTTGTGACAACATGGACAGACCTAGAGGGTATTACGCTAAATGAAGTAAGTCAGACAGAAAAATAGCATGACTTTGCTTATATGTGAATTCTAAAAAACAAAACAAAACAGAAACCAACTCACAGATACAGAGAACAAACTGCTGGTTGCAAGAAAAGGGTGTTGTTGCGGCGGGGGGAAGTGGACGAAATAGGTGAAGGGGATTAAAAAGTACTAACAGTTGTAATAAGACACGGGGTTATAATGTACAGCATAGGGAATATAGTCAATAATATTGTAACTGCTTTAAATGGTGACAGATAACTAGACTTATTGCAGTGACCATTTCATAATGTATATACTGAACTATTGTGCTATACACCTGAAACTACTACAATATTGCATGTCAATTATTCTTCAATAAAAATAAGAAAATATATTTAAAAAAAAAGATGTGGGGGGCGCCTGGGTGGCTCAGTTGGTTAAGCGACTGCCTTCGGCTCAGATCATGATCCTGGAGTCCCGGGATCGAGTCCCGCATCGGGCTCCCCGCTCAGCAGGGAGTCTGCTTCTCCCTCTGACCCTCTTCCCTTTCGTGCTTTCTATCTCTCATTCTCTCTCTCTCAAATAAATAAAATCTTTAAAAAAAAAAAAAGATGTGGGCATGTACCTGGAGGATATAATTCATCACATCATGACTAAGTTACTACTTTTTCAATTCTCCATTTGATTACATCAAGAAAAGCCTCCATTTGGTACTGGTATGTTTTAACACCACTAATTTCCTTTTAAAATTCTCCATTTTCAACAAAAGGAGAGCCAGGCCTTAGGCTCAGAGCTTTGGGTGGGCAACACAATCTAGGTGGGATATAATAGTTATATTAAAAAACTTTTTAATTATGACAAGGGCCTGATTTTCTATTCATAGTCATGATATAACATTTCTTTTTTCAAACTTAAAGTTTAAAAAGGTCAATTTAAAGAGAATATTAAGTATATATCATACGTGGAGGCAAAATAGAAACAGTTAAAATCAAGGACTGAAATTTGAGAAATAGTGACATAAGAGATTGAGCCCAGGAATTACTGCAAACTCTTTTTTGATCTCCAGCAGTGTATTTTTTTCTAATGAGAATAGTATGCTTAATTTACATTGTAGAATTTGGGCTTCTTCCATGGTTTGGAAGTAGTGTCAAAAACATTGCCCATTGGCTCTAGTCTACCTGAAACTCCATTACTCTTTGAAGTCAATAGGCTTGAAGCAGAGACAGTATGGGATTTTTAGTAATTTTCTTGAAAAAGGAGTGGACCATTTCAATCTTGCAGAGAGAAGTCTTCATCACCTATTATTTACTAGTGTAGTAGACACTTTACATTGTCCCAGTAATTTTTACAACATTTCCAGGGGACGAAGATTATCATTTCTTTTAGAGACAGGGCTCAAAGCAGTGACGAAAATTTCCAAATATAAGATAAAATGGAAGATTAAATACAAAGTTCCTAGTGCAGTGTCTGACACATGCAGCAGATACCAAGTAGATGATAGTCATCATTACTGTCCTGGTAATTAGCAAGCTCAGGATTTAGTCTGAGGTCTGCTCAATTCCAACAAGCCCACCAGCTGGGCTCTGTAGAATTGCAGAAGAAAGAAAAAAATAAAGATAACCCAAAACAATATTAAATCCATGTATCATCCACTCAAAAGATCTTTACTCAATGTCTACTATGTTCCAGATGCTATGAATTGAGCTTATAAACATTCCATGTTGCCTTAGGCTAGCTTGGGACCCCACGGGTTGCTACAATGCTATTCTTCCTGTCAAACCCAGTGCATATAATTTCTACTTTAACATCTACCATTTATACTAAAGAGTAAACTCTTGGGAGGAAATATGTCTACTGTGTGACTAATATATAAGCTTAAATATTTGAATTAGAAAAAAATTACATAAAAATCAATATAAACATATATATACTAGCTTTATTAAAATTTCCCTTCAAGAAACACTTTCAAACCTTAAAAAAAATTTCATATGATCCCAGCTATGTTAAAAGAAGGAAGACTGGGGCACCTGGGTGGCTCAGTCGTTAAGCGTCTGCCTTCGGCTCAGGTCATGATCCCAGCGTCCTGGGATCGAGCCCCGCATCGAGCTCCCTGCTCGGCGGGAAGCCTGCTTCTCCCTCTCCCACTCCCCCTGCTTGTGTTCCCTCTCTCGCTGTGTCTCTCTCTGTCAAATGAATAAATAAATCTTAAAAAAAAAAAAGGAAGACTGAAGAAAATTTCTCAAATTTCTTTATGGTTGGTGGCATTAATAGTATTTCTTATACTTTCGATATTTCTATGTCGTGTTTTCTTACATCTATATTAGCAGAAAGGAGACAATAAAGGAAAATCTAATAATGCCAGAAAGTAACCTATAAATTCTTAAAAATGTTAACATAAATGTACATAGATGTAGCATAATTTACAATTACCATTCTCAAGACCTATCTGCCTCCATTCTCCTACAAAACTGAATGATTCTTGTAAACAGAGGCTTAGGGACAGCATGCCCTTCCCTCAAATCCTTTGTTAGAATTATGAGGTGGTAATTAGACTGCATTAGGGAATCTTCAGGATGAAATCTGGAAGTAGTTGGAGGAGGCAGCCCTCTTCTGGGGAAATAAGAAAATGCAACTACTCCAAAGGATCTTGGCTGGATTGTAAAGAGCACTAAGTGCCTCTCCGGGGCACAAGGATACTGAAAGGTATTTCCTGAAAACAATGGATTTTTGAAGCTAAAGGTCATTCTAGAAGTTGAAGTGTAAATATTTATTTCTGTAAGTATTGAGTATGTGTTTAAAATCTCTGAGCCTCAATTTCTTATCTGTAAAACATAGTAATAGTACCTCATACAGTGATTTTGAAATTAATGTGAAAAAATACAATCATTTAGGGCGCCTGGGTGGCTCAGATGGTTAAGCGTCTGCCTTCGGCTCAGGTCATGATCCCAGGGTCCTGGGATCGAATCCTGAATCCGGCTCCCTGCTCGGCGGGGAGACTGCTTCTCCCTCTGCCTCTCTCTCTCTGACTCTCATGAATAAATAAATAAAACATTAAAAAAAAAATACATTTAGCACAGTGTTCCCCAGACAGTAAATGCTTAATAAATGATAGCCATTATTTCAGCTGTTACTTACATTTTATAATCTTTGCAGCAATCATTTTACATTGCGCAACTTTTCCAGTGTTTACAAAAAAAAAAGGACTCTAGGAATCTTACGAGATTGCATCTAAGAAAAGGGGTGCAAGTGTGTATGCATTTAAAAAGCATAATATACGATACTACATCTGAAACCAATGTAACATTGTGTGTCTACTATAGTTCAATAAAAATCACTTTAGTAACAAAAAAGTTTTAAGGCAGAAAGCATGAAAATATTCAACTGAGATTTGTTCACTGAAAAATTGTTTATTAAGATGTTAATGCTTAGTTCAGTAATTATGTAATTTAAAATTCTGAATCACCTCTGAATAATTTAGACATGTATGTAAACTACTATATTTCCTGATATTTAATATAATTAGACTTCTCTAACTTCCAATTATCAGACAAATGAAACATTAAACTTTCAAAGACACACCCTCAGGAGTTCATAAATTCCTATTTGCCCAATTTTTTTTTAAATATATGATAAACCTTCTTAAAGGAAGAAGCCAAAATCCACAAATCAAGTCTTATTCTGCCTTTCACAATGTATATCAAATCATCACAATGTACACTTTAAATATCTTACATTTTGTCAATTATGCCTCAATAAAGCTGAAAAAAAAATGAAATCCCACACGAAAGTCTTAATCTGAACCAATGTTGAGAAACAGTACAATGGAAGATCTTTTATTCATCATGTGAGCAAAAATACAGAATATATTTATTGATTAATTTTCCCCTAAAGAGAATATACTTTGTATTTAGAGAAATAAAAGATTAATTGTCAGGAGTTGCTTTTGGAGAATAATCAATCAGCGCCTTATCAACAGTCGGATACTGATACCAGGGACCATCACCTCTCGCACGCATTAACCTTCGCACTTCCAGCTCCTGTAACCTATAACAAACAGGATAGCAGTATTGTGGGTCCAGCATTTCCAATTGCAAAGTTAATGAATTATCTCCATAAAGAATAACCACCAGAGTCTTTTGCTTTTGTGTAAAGTATTATCTAAAATATTTTATGTGGGACCTCGGTCACCTGGCTTTGGAACCTATGGAGTCCCTCCGCGTCTGTGGAACTCGGGATTGTGTCCTCGACGGTCTCCCTCCATGCCTCCCGACAGCAGGATCTGGAATCGGGTCCCTAGCCCCTGTGAGAGACACACATACCTTGGCCAAACCCTGGGGACAGCCGAGGTAAAACCAGGTACACGGTTTACCGTTGAGACCACGGCTGCGGGGCGCGCCCGACTCCTTGCACCCGCGGGACGGCTCTCAGTTTCTGGACTGGAGCTTAGGGGGAGGAACTTTGCTTGGTGAGGTTGGAATCGGAATGGGGAAATTATACATTACATTTTAATTTTCAGCAAATCACTATGCATGGTTTTTTAAAAAGTAATTCAAAATTATAATGAAAAAAATAAAGTATTTTATGTGGGGCGCCTGGGTGGCTCAGTCATTAAGCGTCTGCCTTCAGCTCGGGTCATGATCTGAGGATCCTAGGATCAAGCCCTACATCAGGCTCCCTGCTCATCGGGAAGCCTGCTTCTCCCTCTTCCTCTGCTGCTCCCCCTACTTGTGCTCTCTCTCTGTCAAATATATAAACAAAAATCTTAAAAATAAAGTATTTTATGTAAAGTATTAATGTACCTCCATAGATCGATGTGTATGCATATATCTGATACGCACCTATAAGTAAAATTTGGGACTTATTTTTGACTTTCATTATTTTGCCAGGTGGTTAGCCAACAAATCCTGTTTTTAATCACCAAAACACCACTTGAATTGATAATCTATTCTCTCCTCTTGTCCCTGCTCTTTATCTGGACAGATCACTTTCACATGAATAATGGTAATGCAGTTCCTGTCTTCTTGCCTTTTAGAAAACCTCTTGAGACCACATATTCCTGAAACAGTCCCTCTCCAAAGCAAACCATAAGAGACTCTTAACTATAGAGAACAAACTGAGGGTTGCTGGAGGGGAGGTGGGCGGGGGATGGGCTAAATGGGTGATGGGTATTAAGGAGGGCACTTGTGTTGAGCACTAGGTGTTACATGTAAAGCGATGAATCACTAAATTCTACTCATGAAACCAATATTACACTATATGTTAACTAACTAGAATTTAGATAAAAACTTGAAAAATAAAAAATGAGATAGTCTTTTCTCCATCAAACTTTTTCTTTCCATTCTTATAGACCACATATTAAATTTCTCATATGACTGGAAACTTATCACAGTTAAATAATTCACTTTATTAACCTTAACCAGCTCACTAACGCTATCCCCTGTCTATGAGAAACTACAAACCTTTGTGATTGTGTATCTAAGAGAGTATATTTCTTTCCTTTCTTTTTTTTTTTAGGATTATATATCTTCATATTATCCTTTTTCTTTTCTACTCTTTAGAATGTAATTATCCAAAATGCAAATATTAAAATATTCAACAAAAGGACTGGTTAAATAAATTATGTTTCACCCTTATAAGAGACTACTAGGCATCTGTTAAAAAGAATGAGAAAAATCTGTATATAGTAAATACAGATGATACACATATGGTTAAATTAAAAAGGCAAGGTATAACATGAGTATGTGTAGCATCTTCCCATTTCATTAAAAAATAGAAAGTAATCATCTGCGACTATGTATAAGTACACATGCAGAGAGTATTAAAAAGTCTGGAGGGCCATAATAAATAGTCATCTCTAAGGAGAGACCATTATGGAAGATAGCCCCTTTCTATTTTGTATCTTTCTTTTATGCTTCAGTTTTCCAAATACCTAAATATACTTTTTAAAAAATGTAGGTACTCTCATTCCATCCTCACAATGGCATCGTTTCTTTGGGGGTAGAAGCCAGAATTTTGTTTTTGTTTTTACTTTGTTTTGCTTGGAAATTGTTTAAAATCTCTACATGTCTAAGGAATTCTGGGCTCTGTCTTTTGGAACTCAAAGGTATATGTGTGAAGTTCAAAAGAGTCCAATGTTACGAAGTATGAGCCATATTGCTGTTCCCCGCTCTTAAATATTTAACAACAATTCCATATGGTAACTATATATGTGTATAATTTCAAATCTAGGAAACAGGCCCATCATACGTTCCTTTAATCATTTAAATATTTTTTTAATATCATAACAATTTTTATAAACTACGAAGTTTAAAAGAGAATAAACAGAAAGCAGATCAATGGTGGACTGGGGCCAGGAGGAGGGGATGGGGAATGACTGGAAAGGACCACAAAGAGGCTCAGTAGGTGCTGGAAATGATCTTGACTGTGGTGGTTACACAGCTATTTACCTTTGTCAAAAACCTATCAAACTTAATGGGTACATGCGACTGTATGTAAACCTCACTACAAACACTAAGATAAATCTCAGACAGGATCACATTTAAAAGTAGCAAAAGGAAACATGAGTGAACATTTAAAATAATTTGGACTTATATATTTGCTTATTTAATCACTATCAGAGACCTATGCATGACACAAAATCCCAAAAGCTAAAGAAAAAGACTGACAAACCTGACAATAATCAAATGAGTAAATATATATAAAGTAATTAAAACACTAATACATAGTAAGCGTTCAGAAACATATTAGCTACTACTATACTTTTGTTATCTGAAACATAAAAACACTTTAGTTGCAAAAAAAATTCTACACTATCAAAAGACAAATGACAAGTTGGGAAAACATAATTGCACCAAAACCCAAAAGAGGTATTTTAGTTAAATGTATAAATTAGTAGAAAAATGGGCAATTTACAGGACAACAAATACAAACAACCAACAGATACATGAAAAAATACTCAACCTTAGCAAAAAAAACAAAATTAAAAAAATAACATTTTCCAACTATCTTATCAGCAAAATGTTTAGGTTTGATAAATTCCATTTACAGGGAAAGGCATGGAAAACAGAAATTATCATGTATTGGTGGCAGAAAAAACAACTGGTACAACTTTTTGGAAAAGAGTTTGGCAACATCTATCTAAAATTTAAAACATAAAACATTTGGTTTATCAGTGCCACAGCTAGGAATTTATATTTCAGATACACTAAATATGCAGAAATATATATATGAGGATATTCACCATAGCACTATGTATATTATCAAAAAACTTGGAAAGAACCCAAGTACCAACAACATGGGACTGGTTAAAAAAAAAAACCCTAAGTACCAACAACATGGGACCAGTGAAATATATGATGCAGCCATTAAAACAAATGGGGTATATACTATTATAGAAAGATCACCAAGATATATTTAAGTGAAATGAAGACAGGGTGCAAAACAGTACTTATAAGAGGATTCTATTTGTATTAATATATTTTTATTTATATTTTTATTTAAATTCAATTAGCCAACATATATATATATAGTCGCAGATATATATAGCCTACATCATTACTTTCAGATGTAGTGTTCAATAATTCATCAGTTGTGTATAATACCCAGTGCTCATCGCATCACGTGCCCTCCTTAACGCCCATCACCCAATTACTCCATCCTCCCACCCACCTCCCCTCCAGCAATCCTACAGTTAAGTGTCTCTCATGGTTTTTCTCCCTCTCTGATGACTTCCCATTCAGTTTTCCCTCCCTTCCCTTATGGTCCTCTGCACTGTTACTTATATTCCACATAGGAGTGAAACCATGTGATAACTGTCTTTCTCTGATTGACTTATGTCGCTCAGCATAATACCCTCCAGTTCCTTCCACGTCGATGTAAAGGGTAAGTATTAGTGTTAATATATTTTTAATGCATAATTTTTTTTATGAACAGAAAAAAAAAAGAACTAAGTAGTAGTCACCTTTAAGGATGAGACTAGGTAGAAGAGGAAAGGAAATTGGGAATAGGAGCAGAGGGAGGGGAGGGCTGCCTTGCACTCAAGAGTGGGATATTTTAAAAAGAATTCCTTTTATTCTGACAGATATTATCAACTAGTAGTCTCTCAGTCTCCAACTTATAAACTCCACTCTAAACAAGCTATTCCCTCCCTATCTTTACCCTTTTACATGGAGCATTCTGTAGTGCTGATATAGTTTATTAAATTTTTTTTTTCACGGCTTGCAATAGTAAGAAAGGATTTTCTTCCTTGCCCCCCCTTCCCACTTTATTTATTTATTACCGTAAATCAGCCTTTTCAGCTTCGATCTGAAGGATAGCCATTGTTTTTTCATAATTCTTTTCAGGGCTATCAAAGAAAGTTCGGGCAATCCATCTTGATATAGGATGCTACAAGAGAAAATTTGTTTATTTTCTGAACAGTACTTTGCTCTTCCAGTTTCCTATTCTTTAAAATGGCCATCTCAGGTAAGCCAATAATACTTACTAAATGCCAACTACTAATTTTAATCCATTAGGTGGATACTATTTTTGTCCCCATTTTATAGATGGGCAAATTGCACAAAGTTATACAGTTACTAAGTGCCAGCAGCTGGACTCAAACCAGGTCGGTCTGACTCCAAAACCTGTGCTCTTCGCCATTATACTACACAGAGTACTTTAAGTGGGAGATTTAGGAGCCAAACCCAGGGTTTGGTAATCAAAAACTGAAGCTCCTTCTCTCAGCACAGAGAAACTACGGCCTGCCTTAATGTATGATAATGATACATTTCTTTTCTGAAATACAGTTCATTCAGATAATAAAACATGATAGTATTTACTCTAATCAAGGCCATCTCACCACAACACTTGTAAAGGCAAGTAACAGATTTAACTTTAGGTTTTAGTAGCAGTGACAGTGTAGTAAAATGACTAACAGTACAGGCTGTCGGGCCAAGCCTACCTAGGTTCCAATACTGACCCTAATTCTTGGACAGGTCACTTACCCTCTTTTAAGCCTGTCTCTTCATCTCTGAATTGGGAATAATAATAGCACATTTCACATGGAATAAGAGAATATTTGCAAAATACTACCACAGTGCCTGCTACACAATCGGTGCTCAATAAAGAGCAGCTAGCATTAGCATGGGTAACATCCTTCCTCAGGCACTGAACTTAGGATAAATTCTGTTACTCTGGATAAGAGTAGTACTTAGGATAAGAACACACTACAGAGTCATACTTTAAAAAACCGTAACGATCAAAGTAATAAAATGCAGAAAATTACCAAAAGAAGTTGCTTGTAAAGAGTGAGCACAAAACATGTCATCTACCTGATATCAAAAACTGAATATAAAATATCATAATTGCTAAATAAAGACATTAATCAGTGCACTGACAAGACACCTAACAGAAAGTAACTTTCAATGACGCATACCCACCTTGAAATATTCCCAGTGTTCTGGGATGTAGCCTTCTGGAATCTCTGCTAACTCAGCTTCACCTAGTAAGAGAAAATAGTGATGTCCAATTTTAGTATCAAGAGTTTAGGGCGCCTGGGTGGCTCAGTCGTTAAGCGTCTGCCTTCGGCTCAGGTCATGGTCTCAGGGTCCTGGGATCGAGTCCCACATCGGGCTCCCTGCTCCGCGGGAGGCCTGCTTCTCCCTCTCCCACTCCCCCTGCTTGTGTTCCTGCTCTCGCTGTCTCTGTCAAATAAATAAATAAAATCTTTAAAAAAAAAAAAAAGAGTTTATAATATTAATTCTTCCCCATTTAAGTAAGAAACCAACTTCTTGTGGTTTTAAAGGAACTTTTGTTTATAACAATCAAGATTCAAACACAGTTGACCCTTGAACAACATGGGTTTGAATGGCCTGGGTCTACTTACACATGGGTTTTCTACAGTACAGTACTGTAAATGTATTTTCTCTTCCTTAAGATTTTCTTAATATTTTTTCTCTAGCTTACTTTATTTTTTCATTTAATTTTACTTATTTGAGAGAGAGCATGTGCGCAGGTGGGGAGGGGCAGAGGAAGAGGAAGAAGGAGAGAAGCGGACTCCCCACTGGGGAGTGGCCAAGGCTGATGCGGGGCTGGATCTTACAACCACAAGATCATGGCCTGAGCCTAAACCAAGAGTTGGACACTTAACTGACTAAGCCACCCAGAGCCCCTCTAGCTTACTTATTATATAAGAATACAGTATATAATACAAAAAACAGTCAAAGTATGTGTTAGTTATTGATAAGGCTTCTGGTCAACAATAGGCTATTAGTAAAGTTTTGGGGGGGAGTCAAAAATTATATGTGATTTTTGACTGAGCAGGGGGTTGACACACTGACATTGTTCAAAGATTGACTATATTTTAATTACTTTAATGTGGTTGAAAATTATTTCATTCATTAGATATTTTTTAGATGTCTTCAATGTGTAAGGCATTGCCTATAGGCATTATATAAGAGTTTCAAACTTTGTTTTTATATAGTATAACAAAATATAATAAAAGACACATTATTCCTTCTGGTTTTCCCTATCACTACTAGACAAAACATTTTAGGATTCAAGATGTTAGAAGTACTTTGGGCAGAATTTCCCATGAAAATCTAATGTTAGCTGTCTTTCACAAATTTCATTCTTTTTTAGAAGATTATAATTTTATGTGTTCCAAGATGGATAAAAAAAATTCTTCCATCCCTCAGCCTCTCTTCCACCTCTATTTCTATTTTCCTTATTCTGGTTTGTCAAAGCTGGTTTGGAGAAGTAACAAGGAGGAGGAAAACAAGGCTTTCTGAAGCCTTTTGTGGCCTCTACAGAGTTGATGACCTTAAAGGCTGTTGGAGCAAAAAAAAAAAAGTGTTTAAAAAAAAACATTGTATACTATTGTAGATTGAGATTTGGTTACTGTAAAATAAAATCCCATGCCTATGTTTATTATTTAAATAACTTTTCTTGGGGAGTCTGTGTGGCTCAGTCAGTGAAGCGTGTGCCTTCAGCTCAGGTTATGATTCCAGGATCCTGGGATCAAGTCCCGCATCGAGCTCCCTGCTCAGCAGGGAGCCTGCTTCTCCTTCTCCCTCTGTCTGCCGTTTCCCCTGTTTGTGCTCTCTCTCTCTCTGTCAAATAAATAAATAAAATCTTTAAAAAAAAAAAGGATTAAAAAACAAATAACTTTTCTTTATAACATCCATAATTTCTTTGTTATTAATGTACATAGGTTTTAGTCGGAGAAGTACTTACCAATGAATATATTCACCAGAGTTATGCCAATTGCTACTGGAATCCCAGTCAACAAAATGTAGAATTTCTGTTGAGATTAAAAAATAGTTTTCAGGGGCGCCTGGCTGGCTCAGTTGTTAAGCATCTGCCTGCAGTTCAGGTCATGGTCCCAGGGTCCTAGGATGGAGCCCCACATCGGGCTCCCTGATCTGCAGGAAGCCTGCTTCTCCCTCTCCCTCTGCTTATGTTCCCTCTCTTGCTGTGTCTCTCTCTGTCAAATAAATAAATAAAATCTTTAAAAAAAAAAAAGTTTTCAAATAACCATTTCTTAACTCTTTCCCCACTCTCAAACTGTCTACAATTTTTTATTTCCTTACATTGCCTGTAAAATAAACTTGCCAAATTGAAGATGTGATACCAAATTATTTCTGAGGTTTTCTTTTACTCTTTTACAGATGCCTATATTTGGTACCAAAAATGAAAGAAAAAAGTAAGGATTAATTGTACAAGTATAATACAATATCTATTTAAGTGATTTTTCATTTTTTGGTTAACACAATGAAATAAAAGTTGAGAAGTTTTTGTATTAAGATAAAAATGTTAAAAACATTTGAGTGATTTCAACCACTGTAGAGTTTGAGTTGGTCATAACAAGAAAAGTGGGAGCTCAACCAAGAGGAGGGATATTAAGCACAAAGGGCAAGCAAGAGGTCTAGAGGGCAGCCATTGCTGAAATGGTCACAGCTGTAGGAACAGTGGCAGAGAATCCACACAATCTTCCATCTTCCAAGCCTCTACTTTTCCATTACAGAGCCTTGAAGTACAAATATACACTTGATCCTCTGAAATCAATGTTCCTGAACAATACAGAAATAAAAAATTATAACCCAAAATAATGGAGTCACTTATTTAAAGAAGTCTTCCAGTGAGTTCCTTGGTAATTTAAAGAATATTTTAGGGCAACCCTGTCAGGACCCCTCTCCTTCTTGAGAGCTTTTTCTGTATCTTCACTTAATAAACTTGTATCTTTTTACTCAAAAAAAAAAAAAAATATTTTAGTAATACAGATAACTATCCCCAAACAAATCCATTTTCAAAGTTCTATAATTTATAGATTTTGGTGTGTGTGTGTGTGTGTGTGTGTGCAGGGAACACAGATTATATTTCAAAACCCCACAATCTTAAAAATAAGGGAATGGCTCAAATTTTACCTCCAATACACATGAATCCTTCTTATGAAGTAAAGATTCACTAATTTAAAAAGAAATTCAGGAATAAATCAGACATTACTACAAAATCTCAATATCTATTGAGAAAATAAATATGAATTTACAAAATAACATCTTTCATAAAATGAAAGATGTTCTCTAAATAGACAAAAAAAAAAAAAACCCACATTCCTATTTGTATGTAAAGAGTTTAGTTCAGAAAAGTTTTTAACTCACCATTAAACTCAAAAAACGCCTGTCATAGAATCCAGATGGTTTGATGATAAACAGTCTTTTCCCATGGTCTCCACTGTGTCGCACAGGAGCTAGAAATATTAAATTACCCTGTTATATGCAAGGCTCAAGGTATACTGTTATATTCTGAGATCAAATCAGGTTATAAGAAAATGTACATGCATAAATTTTTAATATGAATTAAGATAAAAATACGTATTTGACTACTAAAGGCAGAGCAGATATCTTTAAACAGAGACTGGTATACTGTTGTAAACTATAGTTCTCTCTATTTTTATTCAACGTTAAAGAAATATCTAAATAATTGTTTGAATTTGTTTCCATAGCAGGCAGGGAGATCAAATACTCTTGGCGGGCTACTTTGTTTACCTCTACAATAAATATTTGCTAAAGCTATTAAATAAAGAAACTTAATTTAAATTGTGTCATTTCATATGATGAGGCAATATACATTAGGGGCTCACAGCAAAATAGATGGAAAGACATTTATTCAACATATCTCCAGCAGGAATTTGAACTTGTTCAAAAGTAAACACTCTATCTCGATAAAATCACTCTGTAAGCCATTTCTGATTGTGAATATCATCCTCTTCAAATTCTCCCTCAGATGGTATGTAATCAACTCTCACTGGAGATAAACTGAGGCAAAATTTCACTCCTGATCTTATTTCTACACGATTTCCCTTTCTTGGGATGTCTGGAAGGACCATTGCAAACACTGTAAGCCCTTTCTGCTGGAAGCAGGAAAGGATCTCACTGTTACTGGGAAACTGAAGTTACTGCTTCTGCTGTGTGTAACTGTATTCAAGAAAATTTCACGTGAGAATCACTGTGGGATAAAAAACTAATTCCCATTAAAGGAATTTCAGTCATGATAGAGGTCATAAAGATTTGCATTCTTTGTTCAAGCTTAAATGTCTGGAATGCCCTCCCCTCTCCTGAAATCTCTTCTTTAGGCCCAGATGACATTTTATCCTCCAAGGAACCAACCCTCTTCCCAAGCATATGAGATCTCTCCTACCTTTGAACTGCTGTATATTCTAGTGATACTCATACTTGCTTTCACTGCTCCCACTGGAATATAAATGTCTTGAAGGCAGGAACTGTATTCTTAATTTTGGTATCACCTCCAGCAGCTTGCAATGAATTTAGGAGGTTAATTCATAAGAGAATTAGAAGCTGGCATGAATTCACTGGGTACAATTCATACCGTTAAGGCTTCTACAATAACAAGAGAATGTGACAAAGTAATTATGTACTTCAGAAAATAATTTGAAAGATACAATGGAATTCTTTGTGGACTAGGTGGGAGAAAAAGGGCTGGATAACAGTATAAACCACTCATTAATTCAATAAGTATCTAAGTGCCTACTATGTGCAGGTCCTGTGCTAGGCCTACAGTCTAAAACGGATATAGATTCCGCTGGGAGAAACAAACATAGTTAGACATCTATAAGGACAACAAAGAGAAGAAACAGGATGCAGTGTCAGCAAAAAAACAGGCCCAGAAGTTCCTATTTACACAGGATGGTGAGGGTGGGGGAGTATAAAAAAGGTGCATTATAAGCTGAGAGAAACAGCAAGTTAGGTGAATTTGTAATGGGTAATTGATTGATTGATTACATCCAAAAGGTGCTGGTTACTTAATTCAATAACCTGCCAAAAGGCTCTCTCCATAGCCCTGAGAGGTCAAGACTTCTATACATGGCCTGGATGAGGTGAAAATATGCCTGATGACACAAAGCTACTACTACAAGAGTGGCTACTACACTGAGGATGAAGTGGGATCCCAAAAGTCTTCATACACATTTACAAAAGGCTGATTCTAAAAGGATTAAATATAGTAAGTGGAAAGTCCTGACCGCATCCCCCAAAAGTTGCTCACAGATTTAAGAAGAGTCATTGGTGTGATGTGGTTACTAAGAAGGCCAAAGACAGTTCAATCCTAATATTATGTACTAGAAGCATAGGGTCAAAACAGGAGCACCCACCCCCATCTCCTAACCACACCTGCAGATGTGTGTCCATCCCAGAGTACACTATTTTAGAGAAACAATCTAGAGCACACCCCAATTTAAGCAACCAGGATGGCAAACAACCTGGAAACTGATACAGTGAGCCTTAAAGAACTGAAACCGATTGGCCTACAAAAAAGAAGTCTGGGTAGAAACCAGTAAGTGCCTTTAAATAGCTGAAGGGCTATCCCATGACAAAGGGCTTACACTATTCTGTATTGACCTGAAAGGAAGAACCAAGATCAAGAAAGAGTAATTTTCAGCTTAATACAAGGAAGAAGTTTCTAACAATTTTACTGGTTCAAAATAAAATTGGATTGCATCTCCAGTTCCCCTTTATGGAGTTATTCAAGTATCAACAATGGGATGTAACAAGGATACTCTGGGGGTTGGCCTAGAGGATTTCTAAGGTCCTTTTCCTCAAAGAATCCGAACTTATGGCCTGTCTTAGAAAAAAAGGGCATACCATTGGACCTTATCAGTCTCAATGATTCCCTTCCAACTCCAAGAACTCATTCCAGGCTTCATGTTTTTGCACTTACTTTCCTCTTTGCCCAAAAGCTTTTCCCCAGGCTCTTTGAATAGTCACCTCCACACCTCATCCTTCAGGGCCAAGATCAAATGTAACCTCCTCGAAAAGGTCTTCTCTGCCTATCGAAAGCTGGCCTCCCACTTATCCTCCTTAACATCATTTGGTTAGTTCCTTTAGAACAATACACACTAAGCCTGATTTTTTTTTTTTTTAAGCCTGATTACTTTGTTAAAGTCCATCAGGTCAAGGACTGTATTATTCAGTACTGTATCTCCAGTACCCTTTAGTGTCTGCCACATGGTAGATGCCCAATAAATATTGTTGAATTTACATTTCTTAAGTAAATTAAATGTTAGTCAGGATCCTTCCTCGCCTTCTGAAAGTAAATCTACTCAGAAGAGACAGCGTACTCCCAATTTTCCTTTTCAATCCGGCAGACAGGCAGGCAGGCAGACAGACAGAAAGACACACACACACAAACACACATACCCCACAGAGAGAGCGAGATGGATTATGCTCTGCATGGTTTTGGGGACAACTGATTATGAATAACACTATTAATAGATATAGAAAATGTAACAAACAAAAAACTATGGAAGAATACTTGGTCTGGCTGCATTCTAGTTAATATTAATGCAGTTAGGAAAGCGAACTGCTTGCTTTCTTTACATATAATTACCTTACTGTTAAACAACAATTACTCGTGTCATTAAATGTGGTAAATAACTATTATTACTATTAGCTGTTCTAAAGTGTACTTCATAGCACTAAACTCTTTTCAAATATTCTGAGCCTTCACGATTTGTTTTTGATGTACTAAGGCCATCTGCTTACAATCTAAAAATATTAGGGTGAACACTGCTTACAACCAGGTGACTGCCAGGATTTCTGGAACTCAGATTCTCCTTCCACCAAAATACGCATCTTCTACCATTCTCTAAAACCTGGACTTTCTCAACTAGGTATTTATTTAGCTATATGAAACTCAAGTCTCAAAAACCAATTTTTTTAAATGCAAATAACCTCAGGAAAGCTATGTTTTTGATAACTGTGATATTTGTGAGGATCAAATAAGATACTGTAGATTTTGTGTCTTCATTACAACAATCGAAAATCGGCCACTCTCTTTCTCTCATTCTCAGACTACTCCCAGTTAATGACTCCACCAACTCAATTACCCAGGGTAAAAATCTCACTCATCTTCCTTGCACCTACCCCTTGCTCACCAGCTGACAAGGCCTCTTGATTCTACAATTCAAACTTTGTATTTCTTTCCATGCCCTCTTCACCTCACTCACTGGCTTAAGTAATCAAGACCTCCTCAGAAGCCAACCAATATTTAGAAGCATCTTCCCAAAACACTACTGATGTTGCTCTCAGCTAAAACATTCACTCGCTGCAGCCTACAAGAGTTAAGATACTTTGGTTTTGTATTCAGTCCCTCCACTCCCCCAATTTAATCCCAACTTCCCTTTCTTAAGCCTTCTCTCTCAACACCTACCTATCGCAAGAGCCCCATATTCACATACATCAAAAAATACATCCTCTATTTTTCTGCCAATTGCACCTGTTAAAACTATCCAGAATCTAGTTAAAACGTCCCACCTTCTATGTCTGAATTAGCTCCATACTGCTTTGTTTATATAATCATTTAAATACTCTTCTCAGTTTTATTTTTTTATTTTTATTTTTAAGATTTTATTTATTTATTTGAGAGAGAGAGAATGAGAGAGAGAGAGCACGAGAGGGAGGAGGATCAGAGGGAGAAGCAGACTCCCCGCTGAGCAGGGAGCCCGATGCGGGACTCCAGGATCATGACCTGAGCCGAAGGCAGTCGCTTAACCAACTGAGCCACCCAGGTGCCCCAACTTCTCAGTTTTTTTAAACCATAATATGCACACATCAGTCTTCAAGTTAAAGCTCCTGCAGCTGAGGGAAGAACTTAAGTTCATTCCTGGAATCCTTTGATATAAGACAATAAATAATTTAAATAGAATACTTGTATGTGCTTACTTCCTGAGAAAGGTTTTCAATGACAGTGAATGAAGATAATGTGACAGTACCAAATGTTTAAGACAGGGGTGGCCACAAGGCTCTGTAGAAGGCTAATGCTTCTAAATCCAGGTGCTGTAGATTTTCCCACTCACTCTTCACAACGCCCTTATGAGGTAGGTTAAAATTATCCTCCTCTTTTTTTTTAAAGCAGTTCTTATGGTAAGATATAAGTACCTTTCAAAATGACATTCTAGAAAAATGCAAATTTATGCAGAAACATATTTCAGGGTTATAAATTCTTGTCAGTAGGAAAGAGATTAGATTTATTTTCTCTGTCAACAGAATTTATAAACATACTTGTAATAAACATCCTCTTTTTTAAAAGATGAAGACACATAGGTTCCAAGTAATTGCCTTCCACTTAGCTTCCAAGATAACACACAGCTACTAAACTCTGGAGCCAGGATTTGAAAGTAGGCAGTCTAGCTCCAGGGAAAACAAAATAAGGCAAGGTTCTCTACACTGCTGGATCTTACAGTCTCATAGGGGCAGACATAAGCAATAATACAGCAGATTAAAACCTTTCATTCAACTGTGATAGATGAGACCACCTGCAAAATACCTTTGAAAGCAGGTATAAGGCTGAAACACAGTAACTCTAGTGTAGCTATTAGATCCTTTCCTGCTCCCAGTGGAAAGGGTGTAGATTATCTGTATAGATCCTTCCAGAACTCCAAGAATGGGGAATAATGTATAAAGAGGATCTGGGAGTGAGATTTTACCTTAGTTTATCTCCAGCAAAGCATGATTAAATGCTATCCCCAGCAAATATTTGAAGAGGATATTTGTAATGAAAAATGGCTTACAAACAGAATTTATCAAAGAATGTTTGCACATGTAGTTTTTTAACAGGTTCAAATTCCTGCTGGAAATTTGTTGAATACCACTGGTTCTTTCCAACATTTTTGAAACAAGTCTCTGTATAATGCCTCATCATGTGAAGTGACATAACTCAAATTAAATTGGAAGAAGAATAAAGGAGTAAACAGAGAAAGGTATTTTGAGGGTGGAGAACTTTTTGGCTTCACTTCCTCTCTACCTGCTTCTATTGCACAGGGCAGATAGCTTATATTTTTTACCAAGAGCATTAAATGAATTAATACCTTTAAAATCTTAGGATGGTACACGGCACATAGGTGTTCAATAAATGTTAGCTACTGTTATTAGTAAATTTGATGCAGTACTGCATGATTTTTGTCATAACTAAGTCACAGTTCCTTCATTAGTAAAATGGGGACACTAACATTGTACTTACTTTGCAGTCTTTGAAAGAATTAGATTGAATACAAGGCATCTGAGGCTTTGCTATTACCATTATTCATTCTCCTATAAGTCAATACACAGTCTCCAAGAAGCTCCAACTAGCCTTTCCATGACTTTCCTGTACCTAGCGACTTTTCCTTCATGGGCCCCTTCCTCTCTGAGAAGATATTAAAATTATTATTTTATGACTGCGTTGATATAAAACGAATACAATCCAGGCTGGATTCATTACCACATATCATTAACATTAACATTAACCCTAAAAACGTAGGGTTTTTTTTTTCTTCTGGTTTTAAAATAAATTTAAATTAAAACATTTTCATGGACCCTAAAAGTACCGTGTAGGCACTGTACCTACTTAATGAGTTAGCCCTGAGCCTCTCCACCTGCCTACCTATTACTTAGCATCGGTAGGCTCCTGGACAACATGACTTCCAATATTGTGGGACTAGCACCTAGTGCGGGGGAACGTACAAAGAATCTGGTGCCTGAGAAACACAGGTCTCAGCTCCATGCCTTTTTAACCTCAACTTCATCCGCAAACTCACACCAACTGGAATGGCTGAGAGGCAAAGTGTTCACAAATGCTATAACAATTTAAAGGCGAACGATCTGATTACTTCAGGAAAACCCATGTCTCCTCACAAAGACCACGCTCCGTCTCTCCTCTCAAGCCCCAGGCCCGCAATTTCTCCCAGATCTCACCAAGGTCACCCAGGAAGAGTTCTCCATCTCTCACCCCACATCCCCTGAGCACGCTTTCTCCCAAATCTAGCACCCACCGACAGTCTTCGGAAAGCCACGGGTGAGGAAGCCCCCGAATCCAAGCCGAGTACCAAGCCGGTGGCCCGAGAGAGCGGCCACTGCAGTGACCGAAGCCCGCAGCAATAAACTCATGGCCGCCATAGCTACTACGGGCAATTGAAAACTGGGGAGAGTAACGGGAGCCGAAAGAGCCAATTTACGAACCAGGGCGAAGGCGGAAAGTGGCCATGTTGAGTGAGGGCAAAGCCTATTTCTGTTTTCTCCATCCGGTCGGCGGAAGTGACGTTATTGGAGGAAAACAGCGCCGTGCTTACTTCTGTGGAAATATGGCTGCGGCCGGTTTCGGCGTTTTTTGCAGAAAAGTCTTAATCGGCCTCAAGGTTTCCAGGTCGCTTTTAAGTCCTAAGGCCCTAGCTAGCACAGGGTAAGTGATGTGAGGAGTAGGTTTGTTCTCCTCTCCGACTTTAGATCTTGTTTGGCTGCCGAGATGCTGAAAATAGCTGAGAGGCCGTGCGGATGGCTGAGACCGAACGCACTTGGGTGAGGAGGGAATGACCTTAGAAAAGTCGCCCATCTCCGACATTTCCGTTCTTTCCTCAAATGTTTTGTTGTCTCCTACTGTGGACCAGGCAGTCCACGGGGTCTGTGCATACCCAGTATTTGTTGAATTAAGCCTAGAGGTACAGAAGCATCCTATTTGGCTGGGTGAGTTGCACTGAAGAGTTTTTGGTTATGGAACGGAGTCAGGTTTGGATGGATAAAAAAGAAGGGGCCTTTGTACTTCCAGAATCTATCACAGAGATTGTTTGGTAATGTTCAGTGGATAAATGAAAAGTAGTCAAATGAACGGAAAGTAGCCCTGCAGGTGTGAGAAAGGAACGTCCTATATATTGGTGTTCATTATTTCTGGAAAAACAGTTTGTTTTCTGGACAGACCAACTAGAGTTTATGGTGTATGGTTTCCTCACTTATACTGGCTTTTGTGTGTATTGAGTTGAATTTTATACATAGTTGGGTATGTCGGATTTTTTAAAATTATTATTTATATATATGTATATATTTTTAAGTAGGCTCCACACTCCTCTCGCGATGGAGCCCATCGCCCGGCTTAAAAGGAAGTAATGTATGTGCCCTTGAATCCAGCACAGACAATTGTTGAGCATCTGTTATGTGCTACAGTATTATAACTTACACTTACCTTAGAGATAAGAATATTTTTTTCCTTTTGTAGAGGCTCAAAGGTTGTAACTTGATAAAGGTTACAAACTTGGATCAATTGTCTCTTCCTCATCCTTTTTTCTTCAAAGTAAATTTTAGATTTTTATTACTAAATGAATATCTGTTCATTTGCAGACACTGGAAAATAAGGCAAAGTGTTTTGAAAAAAGTAATAATAGACTATAATTTTTGCCACTGATACATAAAGATCTCCTTCCACTCTTTAACTTTGCATATATACACATACATGTAATTTTGAAATAAAGCCAGAATCATATTTACATATATGCAGTTTTGTGCTTTATCCTCGTTTCCCAACTTTTTATTTTTAAAAATTTCAAACCAACAGAAAAATTGTAAGAGCAATACAAAGAATAACCATATACTCTTCATCTTTATTAAGCAATTCTTAGCAGTTTTGTCACATTTTCTTTTTTCTTTTTTTTAAGATTTTATTTGTTTGACAGAGAGACACAGTGAGAGAGGGAACACAAGCAGGGGGAGAGGGAGAGGGAGAAGCAGGCTTCCCACCAAGCAGGGATCCTGATGCGGGGCTCGATCCCAGGACCCCGGAACTATGACCTGAGCCAAAGGCAGCGGCTTAACCAACTGCGCCACCCAGTTGCCCCTTGTCACATTTTCTATATCTCTTTATATCCATGCCTTTATATTTTTTTCTAAGCTAATTGAGGCATGTCAGAATTGCAAACATCATGACACTTCAGCATATATCTCCTGAGAACAAGAACACTGTCTTAACTACAGTACTACAATGATCACGCTGGAGAATGTCATATCAACATACTACAATTACTGTTCTTTTATCTAGCATACGGTCCAAATTCAAATGCCCTCAATTATCTTGCTAATTTCTTTTTTTCTTTCATAATTTTTTATCCAGGGTCCAGTCAATGATCATTCGTTGCATTAGTTATGTCTACTTCATTATCTTTAATCCAGAACATTTTTTATAAAATCAGCCTTTTTAGATTATCCCTCCATTTGGATTTGTCTGATTGCATCCTTGTGGTTAGATTCAGGTTAAATTTTTTAGGTAGGAATACAACACTTGTGATGTACTTTGCTATGTTTTCAATGATTTCACCAGGTTATTAAATATTCTTTAAAAACATGATTTTTAGGGACGCCTGGGTGGCTCAGTCAGTTAAGTGTCTGCCTTCGGCTCAGGTCATGATCACAGGGTCCTGGGATCGGGTCCCATGTCCGGCTCCTTGCTCAGCAAGGAGCCTGCTTCTCCTTCTTGCCGTTCCCCTTGCTTGTGCTCTCCCTGTCTCTTTTTATCATACAAATTATCATACAAATGCATAATTGGGGAAATTATCATACAAATGCACAGTAATTGGGGTGCCTGGTGGCTCAGTCTATTGAGTGTCCAACTCTTGATTGCTGCTCAGGTCATGATCTTAGGGTTGTGGGATTGAGCCACCCCTCCCCACCCAGGGTTCACACTCACTATCTAGTCGCCTTGGGATTCTCCCTCTCCCTCTGCCCCTCCCCCTGCGCGAGTGCATATGCACGTGCGCATGCTCTCTCTTATGCTCTCTCTTAAACAAATAAAATCTTTTTAAAAAATGCACAAATATGTTTTTAACCATTTCCTGGTTGCATATTTACATTATTATCAACTTTTGGATATCACATATAATGCTTTAATAGACATTTTTACTTATCAATTTCCATCTATAATATTTTTAGTTGAAATTTCTAGATGAGGAATTATTGGGTTGAAGGGGGAAGCATGAAGGCTTGTGATACATGTTTGCAAAATTAACCTTCAGAATGTTTTTATCTGCTCATAGAACCACTAGCAGTGTATGAAAGACCTAAAAATGTTACTTTGAAATATAATTATATCAGTGGGGTGGCTGGCTGGCTCAGTCTTTTAGAGCATGGGATTCTTGACCTTGGGGTTGTGAGTTAAGCCCCATGTTGGACCGTACTTAAAAAGTAAAAAATAAAAATATAATTATATCAATATATTACCTCCAAAATCATGTGACTATATTAACCTCTGAAATTAAAGGGTAGCAACATCTATAATGCAATATTAAAAATAATTTCTAAAGCATTTTATGTTTCTTGTGCAGAAACGCTAATTTTTTTTTAACATTGTAGATGAGGAAATGATTCCGATTATTGCTTATGAAATCCAAATGTAAAACTTTAATCACTTGTTTATATATGTTCAGTTGCAGGTTTTCTCTTAGTCTTTTGCCTAAGAACATACCAAATGTCACATCTTTTCACCAGTGTAGAGTACTTCATACCACATTGTCAACAAAAGGACTGGAAGAATTTTTTGATGACCCGAAGAATTGGGGGGAAGAAAAAGTGAAATCTGGTAAGATATTTGGGTTGGTCAATATTAAATATATTTATTGAACCCTCTATCATTTTGGGATTATTTATGCACCTTGGAAATCATTTAGGTGTTTCGTTTTGATTTCCTTTGGGAATGTCAAAGAAAATTAAAAGGATAATGTAAATAGAGTTCATTGTTAATTGGCAGGTTGGCAAAAGGTTTAGAAGAGGAGTAGGTTGAATTTATTAACTGAGGGGCACCTGGGTGGCTCAGTTGGTTGAGCATCCAACTCCCAATTTTGGCTCAGGTCATGATCTCAGGGCTGAGAGATTGAGCCCTGTGTCCAGGCTCCGTGCTGCTCAGCCTGGAGTGGCTTGAGATTCTCTCTACCTCTGCCCATCCTCACACTTGGGTGCACACTCGTGCTCTCTCTCTAAACAAATAAATAAAATGCTTAAAAAAGAAAAGATTGTTAATTGAAGTGAGGTTTAAGGTTTTAGATTTCATTTTTTAGAGATAATTGAAAATTTATGATATAAAGTATTTTGGCATTAAATTTTGGAAATACATTCTATATTAATACAACATTTTTGAATGCTATTGCCAGTCACATTACTAATATTTTCATGTTACCTAATTTAATGCCAATTTAATACTAATTACGTGTTACACTATAATATAAAACTATTTTATAGATAAGCAAATAGGTTTAGAGAGGTTAAGTAATTTGCCACAGGGCACATAGCTAGCATATTATTTCATGTTGTGGATTTCATAATTTTAATAGGAGCTTCATGGACCTGTCAGCAATTAAGGAATAAAAGTAATGAAGATTTACATAAACTTTGGTAAGTATACTGAGTACATTAATATGTAGGTGTTTGAGGGGTGCTGGACTGGTTCAGTCAGTAGAGCATGTGACTCTTGATCTTGGGGTTGTAAATTCAAGCCCCACGTTGGATATAGAGATTACTTAAAAATAAAATCTTAGGAAATATATACGTGTAGGTGTTTGAAGCAGTTAAAGTATAACAATGAGGTATAAACATATCTATTTGATGTAAGAAATTGAGTAACATGTTTTGTCTTATAATACTATGGATGATACACAAAATCATTATAGATTTTATAAATATGACAGGTCAAATTACATTAAGACAAATTAGTGTTCTCAAGTATTTGGGGATTTAGAAATTTTACTATTACTGCTACTAGTCATACTAGCATCTATACTAACAATTTTAGTAAACTAATGAAATGGGAAGTGTTTGTTATATTTAGGCCTTCCTCCTTTTTATTACCTTATGCATGGTCTGTAATCTTTAGCTTATTTACTCTGAGGAAGTATGTTGGAGAGTGCATTTAGCTAGATATTTCTGGCAGATTTTCCTGATGAATTAGAGAGGGTTGAGAGAATTTAAGACAGGGTTGCATTTTTAATGGATTACTTATTTATTTATTTACTTATTTGTATTTATTGTCAATGAGGAGTAATTGACATAACATTACGTTAGTTTCAGGGGTACAACATAGTGATTTGATATTTGTATGCATTGTAAAATGATCACCTTAATAAGTCCAGTTCAAATATGTCACTGTACATAGTTAGAAAATTTTTTTCCCGGGGGCGCCTGGGTGGCTCAGTTGGTTAAGCGACTGCCTTCAGCTCAGGTCATGATCTCAGGGTCCTGGGATCGAGCCCCGCATTGGGCTCCCTGCTCGGCGGGAAGCCTGCTTCTGCCTCTGACCCTCCTCCTCCCTCTGACCCTCCCCCCCCCGCTTGTGTTCCCTCTCTCGCTGTCTCTCTCTCTCTCTCTGTCAAATAAATAAATAAAATCTTTAAAAAAAAAAAAAAATTTTTTTTCCCTGTGATGAGAATTTCCAAGATCTGCTTTCCTAGCTATTTTCAAATATGAAGTACAGTATTATCAACTATAATCACCATGCTGTACATTACATCCTCATGACTTACTCATCTTAAAACTGGAAATTTGTACTTTTTCACCCTCCTCACCCATTTTGCTATTAACCTTAAAAATAAAACAGTTATTTTACCAGCAAAAATGGGTTTATTCAGGAATAACAGAATTGAAGTTAAGGACAAGCAAGCTATGGCAAAACCATAGACAAGTCGAACAAAGGAATACTATTTTATGGAGAAGAAAGTTGAGCGGGGTTGTTTTGAATGAAAGTCCATTGGAGAAAAGCAAGAGTTCAGGGTGATGATGGTTTCTCATTGGCTGAGCTACAGAAGTAATTTCTTGTAGGAGATGGCAATGTATGTCTTTCCCTGTTGGAGCCTGTAATTGATTCTTTTCTGTTGAGGATTCTTCTGTTAGGGATCTGTAATTGACATTTTTTCCTATACTTGACATGGAGTGGTATGGCTCCCCCTTCCAGCATCCCCTTCCATCATCTCCAGTCCACTTTAGTTAGGTTTTCCTTTTATTAATTCTCACATTTCCCTCTTTTGATCAAGATCTTTCCTTGAAAGCAGTGCTAATCAAGTCTCAGTTTTTCTATATTTAGTGGAATTGTCCTTCAGTGCCAGGAAGGACCTTTCCTGGTTGTCATGTCCTACCTTGGAGGGAAAGTGCCTAACAGTTGGGAACCTCAGAAGGCCACATTTGAGTAACAAGGAAGGTTAAGAGGGAGAATTCTCTGGCAATTCCCATCTAAAGTTTATATCTTCTCAAGGCCCACCTGTTGGAGATCATCTCCTTATTGGGTGCATCATTTTTTTTTTAATTTCAGTATAATTAACAGAGTATTATATTAATTTCAGGTGTACAGTATAGTGATTGAACAATTCTGTACATTACTTAGTGCTCATCACCCTAAGGGTACTCTTGATCTCCTTCACCTGTTTCACTACCCCCCACCTCCCTTCTGGTAACCACCAGTTTGTTCTCTAGAGTTAAGACTGTTTTTTGTGTCTCTTTTTTACTTTGTTTTGTTTCTTAAATTCCACATATGAGTGAAATCATATGGTATTTGTCTTTCTCGGACTTATTTCACATTTAGCATTATATTCTCTAGATCCATCCTTGTTGCAAATGGCAGACTTCATTTTTCTTATGGCTGAGTAATATTCTATTGTACGTATATACCACATTTTCTTTATTCATTTATTGATGGATACTTGGGTTGCTTCCATACTTTGCTTGTTGTAAATAATGCTGCAATAAACATATGGATGCATATATCTTTTCGAATTTGTTTTAGTATTCTTCGGGTAAATACCCAGTAGTGAAGTTACTGGATCATATGGTAATTCTATTTTTAACTTTTTGAGGAACCCCCATGCTGTTTTCCACAGTGGCTGCACCAGATTGCCTTCCCACCAACAGTACACAAGAGTTCCTTTTTCTCCATATCCTTGTCAATATTTATTTCTTGTGGTTTTTATTTTAGCCATTCTGACATGTATGAAATGATATCTCATTGTGGTTTTGATTTGCATTTCCCTGATGATGAGTGATGTTGAGCATCTTTTCATGTGTCTCTTGGCCATCTGTGTGTGTTCTTTGGGGAAATGTTTGTTCATGTCTTCTGTCCATTTTTTAATTTGGTTATTTGTGGGTTTTTTGGTGTTGAGTTCTATAAATTCTTTATGTATTTTAGATACTAATGCTTTATTGGATATGTCATTTGCAAATATCTTTGCTGTGCAGAAGCTTTGTATTTGAATTATCCCAATACTTTATTATTTTAATTTATTTTTTAAAAAGTAGACCATACCCAGTGTGGAGCCCAACATGGGGCTTCTACTCACGACCCTGAGATCAAGACCCAAGCCAAGATCAGGAGTCGGATGTTTAACTGACTGAGCCACCCAGGCACCCCCGATAGTTTATTTTTGCTTTTGTTTCTCTTGTCTTAGGAGACCTATCTAGAAAAATGTTGCAGTGGCTGGTATCAGAGAAATTACTGCCTGTGCGCTGTCTTCTAGGATTTTTATGGTTTCAGATCTCACATTTAGGTCTTTAATCTACTTCGAGTTTATTTTTGTGTATGGTGTGAGAAAGTGGTCCAATTTTATTCTTCTGCGTGTGACTGTCTAGTTTTCCCAATACCATTTGTTGAAGAGACTTTCTTTTTCCCATTGCATAATCTTGCCTCCTTTGTTGAAGATTGACCACATGATTGTGGATTTTTTTTTAAGGTTTTTTATATTTGTTGGCAAGAAAGAGCATGTGCATGAGGCAGGGAGGAGCAGAGTGGGAGGGAGAGGGCAGGAGAAAGAATCTCAAGCAGACTTCCCACTGAGCACAGAGCAGGACCCTGAGATCAGGACCTAAGCCGAACCAAGAGTCGGAGGCTTAACTGACTGAGCCACCCCGGTGCCCTTTGTGAGTTTATTTTTGAGCTCTCTATTCTGTTCCATTGATCTAGGTGCCTATATTTGTGCCAGTACCATACTCTTTTGATTACTACAGCTTTGTAGTATAACTTGAAATCTGGAATTGTGATACCTCTGGTTTTGTTCTTTTTCAAGATTGCTTTGGGTGTTCAGGGTCTTTTATGGTTCCATGCAAATTTTAGGATTGCTTATTTCTAGTTCTGTGAACAATGCTATTGGTATTTTGATAGGGATTGCATTAAATCTGTAGATTGCTTTGGGTAGTATGGACATTTGAATAATAATTGCTCTCCTAATCCATGAGCATGGAATATCTTTTTGTATGTATTGTCTTCAATTTCTTTCATCAGTGTTTTATAGTTTTCAGAGTACAGATCTTTCACTTCCTGGGTGAAAGTTTATTCCTAAGTGCCTTATTTTTGGTGCAATTGTAAATAGGATTGTGTTCTTAATTTCTTTTTCTCCTGCTTCATTTTTAGCATATAGAAATGCAGCATATTTCTGTAGATTGATTTTGTATCCGGTGACCTTACTGAATTCATTTATCCTAGTAGTGTTTTGGTAGAGTCTTTAGGGTTTTCTACATATAGTATGTCATCTGCAAATAGTGAAAGTTTTATTTCTTCCTTACCAGTTTGGATGCCTTTTATTTCTTTTTGTTGTCTGCTATGGCTAGGACTTCCCATACTGTGTTGAATAAAAGTGGTGAGAGTGGACACCTTGTCTTGTTCCTGACCTTAGGGGAAAGCTCTCAGTTTTCACCCATTGAGTATGATGTTTGCTGTGGATTTTTCATAGAAGCCCTTTATTATCTTGAGGTGTATTCCCTCTAAATCTACTTTGTTGAGGGTTTTTTCATGAATAGATGTTGTATTTTGTCAAATGATTTTTCTGGAGTTATTGAAATGATCATACGGTTTTTATCTTTTCTTTTGTTGATGTGATGTATCATGTTGATTGATTTGTGAATATTGAGCCACCTTCTCATCCTAGGAATAAATCCCACTTGATTATGGTGAATTATGATGTATTGTTGGATTCTTTTTGCTAATATTTCATTGAGAATTTTTGCATCTGTATTCATCAGAGATATTGGCCTGGAGTTCTCTTTTTTTGTAGTCTTTATCTGGTTTTGCTATGAGGGTAATGCTGGCATCATAGAATGAATTTGGAAGCTTTCCTTCCTCTTCTATTGTTTGGAGTAGTTTGAGAAGAACTGAGTATTAACTCTTCTTTAAAAGGTAGAATTCCTGGGGCGTCTGGGTGGCCCAGTCAGTTAAGTATCTGACTCTTGATTCTGAGGTCATGATCTCAGGGTCGTGAGATCAGACCCAATGTCGGCTCCTCACTTAGTGGGGAGTCTACTTGAGATTCTCTCTCCCTCTGCTCCTCCCACCTGCGTGCCTCCCGTGTGTGTGTGGGGGGGGGTGTCTCTCTCTTGCAAATAAATAAGTAAATCTTTAAAAAAATAAGTAAATAAAAAAA